GAATTTATTCGATAAAGTGTTCTTGCTTTTTAAAGGATGATGTATGCTCCACCAAGAACAATCTTAAGAAACTTTAGAATTCGTCATGTATTACAAAGTATGATTGGACAAGTTAAATGTCACTGTCATGATAGAATTTATGGTAATTGGTGGAACCGAAAACGTGTAGAAACGCTTATCTTGGATAGTCTCGATGGATTTGCCTCCGGTATTGAACTGAATAATAACTAATTTCCATTTTAAATTAAAATCTGTCTTCTGTTGCTCGCTAGGACCATTTTAATATTTGTATTACCACTCACTGAACTAAGGAGATAGGAACTTGAATGTTATGTTAGTTAAATAATTTATTCGTTGTAAATGAAAGCACAGCTGTCAAGACTCTGTTTTTAGGGCCGAAATCATGTAAAACTAGAAACTAAAAAACAAAGAAACATGGAAAATGTTCACCGAAATATTTAAATATCTTCTCACGCCATGAGTTTGAAAAACTATTACCAACTACGTAACTCATTCTTATCTTTTGATTTAATGTGATAGTTTGTTTGTTTTTGAATTTCGCGCAAAGCTACACGAGGGCTATCTGCGCTAGCCGTCCCTAATTTCGCAGTGTAAGACTAGAGGGAAGGCAGCTAGTCATCACCACCCACCGCCAACTCTTGGGCTACTCTTTTACCAACGAATAGTGGGATTGACCGTCACGTCATAACGCCCCCACGGCTGAAAGGGCGAGCATGTTTGGTGGGACAGGGATTCGAACTCGCGAGTCGAGCGCCTTATCCACCTGGCCATGCCGGGCCTGATTTAATTTGAATAACATTAAAATAGTAAAAGAATATCCATAGTAGTACTCAGCTATAACATGAGTTTTTTTTATCGTGAATATATATAAGTCCTGGAATTTTATACTTTCATGAGATATTGTCTCAGATAATCACTATTAAAAGAAATAAAAAATTAAAAATATACTAAAGGTTTACGTCAGTGTCAAATAAACTTAGGAACATAACGTTTACATGGCGCTATTAGAGTGCCTTGTACTTTACGGACTATGTTGAAATTAAGCATCGTATCCCAAAGGATGCACAAACACACACACATCATAAACACAGAAAACTCAGTCCACAAAAATGAGTAAAATTTTATATTTTCATACTTAAAATATAACACGTCATTAATTATACACAACAGTATTTCGCTGCATGATAATAAAGCAGTGTTGATGACAATGTAGAAGTTAACACTACCGCGGTGCCACTGTGTGTAATTTATATTTTTAATGTTATAATTTAGCTATTTGTTAGAGGGAGCTGCTAACAATGATGATGTAATAATCGAGAAGCTTCATTTAATATCTAGAGATAAGAGAAACATAATTTAAGAATAGGAATAATCATTTAGTGAAATTAATTAGTGTTCAATTATTGTTTTAGTGTTGTGTTAGATAATGAGTATTATTTCGTCTATTCAGTAACTCGATCGATTTGCATTTAAATTAAATTTGTATTTAAATTAAAGAGTTTCCGTGCTAACAGATCGAGTGACCGAATAATGCGATAACTAGCACTAGCTGTAAGAAGTACTCGTTAACTTCAGTAACCATTTTTTCGTCTCTAGATATTACAAGAAGTTTCCCGATTATCACACGAACATCGCTAGCAGCTCCCTCTAGCAAATAACTAAATTATAACACTGAAAATACCTGCTTATAGCAGTATCGGTAAGAATACGTATATATATATATGAAACATAAGTTGTTAAGTTTTTATGCTCAATGTACCAAATATCAATTCAGCAAGTAAAGGTATTGTTAAAAAGGATGAGAGAGTTCATCATTTTCTCGACATGCGCATGTAAAGGTAAAGTAACACAATTTGTACCTTAGAAATGATTAAAATGTTACTTAGATGAATAGAGTTGTTTAAACATTTGTTTAACAACAAGTAAAAGCTTGGAATGGTCTTCATTGGTGGTAGTGTCCAGGGTCACTTATGAGGAGTGGAATTCTCCGAAACTAGTCTGACTCACAGATACACCCCCAATGAAAGAATAGACCATTCCAAG